ACTAAACGAAACCGCTAGTTGGTTCACCAATTTTTTTGTTGAACCGGTCGGCTTGGTCTGATTTTTTTTTTCTTTGTTCCTGAATATAAAAGGTTCCTTCTATGATATAAGACTTCACTTTATTTTATTGTGTTTATTTATTTGTTTAAAGAGAAATAATATAACCTTCATGAACTTCATGCTATATTTACCTTCCTTAAACTTTATAGTTTTACAATAAATCTTCCTAAACTCTTACACATATTAGTAGTTTTGTTCATTACTTATCCACACACACACATATTAAAATTTAGAGAGCTTATATGCATGTAACTCAACTTGAAAATGTTATATACACAAAAAAAAATTATTTAAGGGGTGTATAATTGATGGGATTTATTCAAACTGAAAGTGTAAGTGAGTTGATTATTAAATTTTAAATGTTAAGAAATTATTTGAATATGGTTCAAAGTTCAGGACTATTTTATGTCATTTAGTGGCTACTTATTTGAGCTTAGACAATATGGATGTCATATACACATATTAGTCGTTTTTTTTTTTGGTACATCAAGGCAAGTTCATCAGCTACGGCAGCAACGCCTATTTGATCCACTCGCCATCTGTCACGACAAAAAGGCAGGAAAAGCGACAAAAATTAAAAAGACACAGAAAATGAAAGAAGGTGCTCAAATGATTGATGTCATTGGCTTGGACCCAAGTAACTGTTTGGAAGTCGTTAGAATCGTTGCATAATCACCTGTCATTAACCTTTATTGCGTCCCCCCCCCCCCCAAAAATAATTCATTATAACTTTTCCCTCGTGTTTGTAAAAAGGTTTCTTTAAAAAAGGAAGAAACCTGAAATTAGTTTTTTTTTTTTAATTTAAGCACGTAACATTTTAAAAATAACAGAGAAGGAAGTAAACCCAAATTGAAATTTCAAAATTCAAGAAAAATGACAAAAATGACCTTTGTTAATCCCATTGAGAAAATGTGTTGTTAATTCTAAATCGAGACTTATAATTTCACAATTAAAACTTGTTATTCTCAGATGAATTGTTATTATTTTTAATAATTACATGTTATTTCATATGTTATGTATCAAGAAAAAATGTGTTGTTAATCTCAAATCAAGATTTTAATTTCACAATAACGATATGTTATTTTTAGATGAATTATTGTTATTTTTAATTGATTCACATATTATGTATTTAGAAAAAAAACGTATTATTGATCCCAAATCGAGACTTGTTATTTCACAATAAAGACTTGTTATTTCCAAGTAAATTGTTATTCACAAATGGGCATTTTTGTCATTTTTTTAATTTCAAAATTGCGCTTTGATTTTATTTCCCACTATGCCATTTTAAGTGTTAAGTGTTAAATGTCTGAATTGAAAAATATTAACTTGAGGGTTTTTTTTTTCCTGAAACTTTTCCAAAAAATATGAAAATTTAAAGATAGCATAAAACAAAAATACCATGTCAAAATCAAACATATAAATAAAAAAATAAATCTTATGAATTACATCATATTCTGTGTAAATTCTTATTTATTACTCCTCTAATCGTAAATGTAAGACACATTTCATAGTATAAATGGGTCTTACATTTAGAAATGAAAGAATATTTTTTTTAAAGATAATACTTTATTATTATTTACAGTATGACTAAATATATATTATTTTCGTATTTTAAAACAAATGATCGATACTAACGAAACTGAAAAATATGAGCAACAAATTGAGGTAAATTATAAATATGTTTGATAAAATATTGATAAAAATTTAATAATAAAAATAATTTAATTTTAAAGGAATTTAAAATATTAAATCATAAGAATTAAATTAGAAGTAATGCCACATAATAGAAAAATTACAAATGAAAAGACCTCATCAAGGAAAAAATATTGACAGGTACAAAAAAACTGGACTGGACTAATTGGCTCAATCAGAAAATCGATCTCCAGTCCGGTCTAGTTTAAGGAGAAAATCAATCACCTATAGAACCAGTAATTAACTGGTCAAGTTGGTATTAAATCGGTCAACCGCCTGGTTTGGGGGGTTGATCGGTTTAATTTTTCCTACCCAATATCCAAAACGACGTCATTCACTATTAAAAAAAAAAATTGCAACACTATTGTTCAATTCCCTCGATCCCTATCTCCTAGCCAGAATCCCATTTCCATCTTCATTGAGCTCGACCGTTCTCCCTACCCCAAATCCCTTGCATCGCCGTCGAGTTGCCGTGAGAGTGCAGACAGCGGTGTGGTGGTCAACTTGTAGTGGAGACGGAGGCACGGTGGTTGACCAAGATTCCCATTCCCTTCTTCGTTGAGTTCGTTCTAGTCGACTGTTCTCCCTGCCCCAAATCCCTTGTAGCACCATCAAGTTGCCGTGAACAGTGGAGACAGTGGCGTGGTGGTCAACTTGTAGTGGAGACGGAGGTGCGGTGGTTTATCTGTCCTGCGTCGTGGAGAGTGGAGACAGAGGAGGCACAGTGGTCACCTCTCCAAACCCTAGATTTCACTGCTTGCTTGGTTCAATTTCTTGGTTCAAATTCAATCAATCATATCAGTTTTGGCGTATTGGGTAAGCTCGAAAAACATTCCCTCCCTTTTTAGCTAGGTTGTGATTTTAGGAATAAATTGATAAATATCTCTGATTTCTGCTTGTCTCCACTAGCCGAGAGGGATTGGGAAATGGGAAGTGAGGGCAGATAAAAATCTCTAGCTGAAGTTCAGCTACTGAACACTCAAAGTTACTTGAGAGTTTTGCCTTTCTGCTTTGCTTTCTGCCTTTCACCGGATTGCCTCCGCCTTTCGAGTTTCTTCACTGGCTGAGATATGTAGTTTGTAACTTCTTATCTTTTTTGGACTGATTATTATTTATAAATTTTGTTCTATTTTAATGTTATGAATTAAATTGTATTATTTTAATATTACTGGTCCGACCTCAGTCAGACCCTTGGTCTGACCAGTGACTCTTGACCGGTTTAATATTCGGTTTGGTTTTTTGTTCCTTGGATCTGATGAAAAAAAAAAAGAATAAACTTGTAAACATAATGTTTTGTGGGGTCATTACAAGGAAGAACAAACGGTCTTCCTAACTTTATGTGTGATTATTGATTAATTTATTATTAATACATGGGAAATAAATATAATGTTCTTTAAGATTATGCAAAGACTTTTAAGATTGTGTCAGATTTGGTCTGAGGACTATATCTCAATTTTGCGTGTTATGCTTAATTATATTATTGGGAAATGAATTTGCCTAAAACATATAGTATTTCATATATAATCATGCATATTCTTGATTTTTATATTTCTTTTTAGAAATTAAGGTGCTGAAAATCAGAGAGATGGTTCACAGTCAGACAGATCATTAAATCAATCAAAAGAGTCATTTAAATTCAGTGATGTGATTTTAGTTGAACTGGGATCATTTCCATCATGATTAAAATAAAATAAAATAATTTACAAAATTATTTGTATATAAATCTAAAAAGAATAATACTCAAATAAAAAATAGATAATTATTCATAAGTAAGTTGAAGAACATTCATATATGTTGTATCAACAAAAAAAAGAAAAAAGAACATTCATGTATGAACTATACATAATCCGGTAAATTAGAATTATTATAATACAAATTTGATATAATGCTATTTTTTAATCATACCAACCGAAAACTGATTCAGTAATTGACTAGTTTGATTAGATAGCAAGAATTAGGTTTTAATACTATGCTACTAATAAGAGTAAGAGGTGAACATATTTTTATTTGAAGTTTTAAATAAGGATGAATGAGGATGTCATGAACATGAACAATAAAATTAATAAAAGCAACATTAAAATTTGTTAGCAAATTCTGGATGAGTTTGGCTAAACCACACATGCTTGTAAATAAAAATAAATTAAAAAGGTCTGGTTTTAGAGGATAAAAAGCATGGGATAATGCTAGCTTTTAGACTAGATCATTAATTAATATATTAAAAATTCATGCACAAAAAAATAAATAAATAAAAGCCTTCTAGCCAAATGCAATGGCTATTTTTTTAATATAAAAAGGTTTAGGTAAATTAGGTCCTGGGAGCTCAAAGAGATATTTATAGATCGCCTACTAATAAAGTTCTCACATCACCAGCAGAATTTAAACTTACGATTTTATAGACTATGAGTAGATTCCTTACTAGTAAGAACAACTTTTATTGGCAATGCCATGGCTATTATCAATAAAGCAGAAATAAAGGTTTAAAGTTTTATGCGCAGATTTGAAGGGCCTGCTTTTACAAAAGAGAAGGGCCATCCTACTCAGCAACACAGGGTTTTGAGAATCCTTATTTGCTTTTGAGTAGCCGCTCTATTTTGGTCGATTCTCTTAAATTAATTTAATCAGCTTAGTTATTTTTATTTCTAAAATGCAAATGAATTATCCTCCCACAAAACAAAGCATTGAGAACTGAGGAGATTCATCCTTATATACATATATATATAATTAAATAATTTAATTTTTTTGAACTACCTAGTCAGTACTTTACTAAACTTTAAAGTCACTGGGTGGTTATTTCAAAGTTACGATTTAAACCCTTGAATTATTAAAAAATAATTGACAAATGACAAAGTTTGAATTTAAGAGGAAATGCCATGTGATTTGGCAAGTTAAAAATTAAAAAACATAAAGAATAATTTTATAAATATATACACACATATATATGTTTAGATGAAATAAATTCACCCAATATGTGAATATTAAATATTTTTAATTTCTTAAAAATAATTTTTATTTAATATTGTAAGTTTCCAACCCTCTAAACTCCGGTTTTTAAACTCATCAAATTTCTTGAATCTCCGTCACCGTCCGGCCAGGCCGGGATCGTTCTCGGAGTTTCATGTCTGGATCGAACTCCGTCAGTTCGAATTTCAAAGCAAAGGAAATTCCATTTTTGGTAATCATCAATTTTTCTGTCTTCTTTCACCTACCAATTAAACAGTTTGACTGAATCATTCTTCCACACACTTGTATTTAACAATATATCCAGTATTCATCTACTATTTCTTTTCTGTATCCAAAATTCTAAATCCATATTAGAAACTTGCTAGAAAACAGCAGATTTTTACAGTCAAAAATCATCTTCATCGCTTTGTCATGCACGTTCTGGTTACTTCAACTCCACTTGGTGGACCAGTCATCTCAATCTGGCATGTGCTATGGATCCAGAAAGACATATGAATGAAACCCGCAATGGCTTTCACTCTAAAGGTTGCCCTCACGATGTAGTTCACCTTGTTGCTCTGAACCTGCCTCTGAAGCTTCACGCCTAGATCCTGAGGCAGAAACACCAAGCTCGAAATGAAGTGAATAGGCTGCAACCTCGTTTCCCTTCGCTTCTGTGTGAACGGCTGAATCTTCTGACTCGATATGACCCTGTCCGCGAAGAAAAGCTCGATGTCGCCAGATTCAAATTTCACGTCGATTTTCCTATTAGGGTTCGAGAAATTCGCGAGTAGAACAAAATCGCCGTTCAGGTACTCCGGAGAGTCGAAGTACACGACGTTGAGGCTTGCATTAGGAATGTCGAATGTAGGGTTTTTCGGTTTGATGGTGAGGAAGACGATCAGCGTCGCAATTCCGAAGAAGATGAGGAGAACGCTGAATATGAGGCACAAAACTGCAGCAAACCATACTGCTGGGTTAGTTCTTCGAACTCTTGGTTGTCTCAGTGTTGTTGATAGCCTACTATACTTTCCGAAAAAATTTGGTGATTCTAATTCCATACAACTGTGGTTTACCGATGCTGTGATCTGGTCGGTAGAATTTGGCTTGATTTGCTTAGTGGGTGGGGATGCAGATGCTGGTGGAGGTGGGAGATCAGGCATGTTTGAGTAGTACTACTAGAAAAGGCTACTAATTTACTGCACAATTGAAGAAGCAGGTGATGAGAGAAAAGTTCATGGAAGCGAGGACGAGGATGAATATGTTAATTTATTCCCAATTGGGGTGGTCGATTAAGGAAAGTAAAAGAGGGAAAGAAGCCTTTAAATTGAGTGGCAGGGTGGGTGGGCGGGTAGGTGGGTGCGGTCGGTGTGTTCTTCTAGCTATTGGCAAAAGTTAGGAATAGAGATATAAGGGAGCTAAAGTTTGAGGCCAAATCAATGTTGGGATTTTTGAATGTTTTGCTTTTGATGCATAAAGAGTTATAGTTCCGCGGAGAACTCTCATTCTTTTATTGCTCTTGCTTTTAAGGTCTAAAGTTTGTGTTTGACTAGGCAGTGTCTAGGGGCAATCTTTGAAACTAGTCAATTCAATGAAGGGCTTAGATCAAGCCTGCACACCAGTCATTACCAAGTGTTGCTTCATGATATCAAAACCTGCTTACTTGGAAGAGCAGGATGATTAATCACTAAGGAATGTGTTACACTATTCGGAAAGTGAATCACGTTCTTAGAGTACAACAATCAATCAAATATTCAATCATGGAGGCTAGTGATCCATTAGTAGCACTTTTTGGTGTGTCTCCATCATGAAAGTTCTATTCAATTATATGCTTACTGGTGCTCGTTTGTCTATCTGGCCAAAATAAATAGGGTTTACTCCTCCACAGCCTCGAGTACTGAAAATCAAGGATTAAAAAGAGCCAAAGATTGGAATACAAATCTCTGTCACAACTTTATTATCAGATTTTTAGAAAATAATGAGTATGAAAGAAACAAGCAGAAGACCGTAGAAAGGAAATATAAACGATAAAGCACACAAACCTACCATCTAGAGAAGACGAGAATATAAATTTGATATTTATAATTATTGTCTATGTCTTTCTCTTATTGGATTAAATACTAGAGGAGTGTTTGGATTGAAACTAAACCATGATTTTAAAAGTAATTTTACGGTATGCGAAATAAATATGTGAAGGAATTTGTCTCAGTTTGAGAAAAAGTATTTTTTAAAAGTATTTTTATGGTTTGCCAAACACCTCTTAGATCCTAGGGAGACAAATCATTTTTGCTAATTGCTAGTGTGCCCGATTGATCAAATGAACCCATCTGCATTTGACATATCGAGACTAGAAGGAGCCATAAGCCATTAGGCCAAGATTTTTAATATTTCGTGCTCGGCAGTATCGTCTTAGTGTTATTGCAAATTTACATCTACAATCTTAAAGAAATTCGATGACTAACTGGCTTAACAGTACATTTTGGAGCTTGAAATCGGAAGAAAAATGTGTGAAATATTATTCCTCCGATCATCAAATACTGTTGGTGGGTGAGGGTGATTTCTCCTTTTCCCTTTGTTTGGCTCAATCTTTTGGCTCAGCTTCCAATACTGTTGCTTCGTCCCTTGATTCATATGGTCGCTCTCTTTCTCTCCCTCTCTTCCTCTGTTCTTTCAGTTATGCCTTTTGCTTCTGTTTTCGTCGTGTATGTGATTATCTTGAATACAGCAGGGGCTCAATATTGTGTAACAATATATGGATTTTGATGAATGACGATGCTTCTTTAAAACTGCATTAAGTTATTGCTCGTACTACTAAGTTCTCTTGAGTTCTTTTTCCCTCCCCTTTTGTAGTAAATCTTAATTTATGCACTCGGTCGGTTGGAAAACGATGAAAATTATATTTTTCATACGAGTTCGTCTAATTTATCTTTTTTTTTTTTTGCTTGCTCTTCGTTAGAACCTAAACGAAGCCAAGCTATGCTTGGTCGTTTGTTTTCTGGATACCCTACAAAGAGTTTCTAGAAGTCAAGGAACTAAATATTCGATTTTCATTTGGTATTCTAACGAAGCTTAATTTAGGCGTACTTGTTTCTGCTCCTTTAAAAATGCTATATCTACTTTTCTGATTCTCCAGGATTTGTAGAAGTGCTTGTGTTTTATATATTATTCTTCCGTTTTCCTATGAGCATATCTCATAGATTTTGTTCTCTGAATGAATTGTTTTTACTTCTGCGCATGTTATCTAATTTGTAGACTGTGGATTCTGTCGATCTCATTTACTCTTCTGCTTTTTGTAATTGTTGTTACTACAGCGTTGAATGTTAGTCATGTCTTTGATTGCTTTTGCTGTTCATTAAGATTAACTTACAATGATGATGACGCTGGGATTTTGTAATTTCATGACATCTGAAATTGATTCTTGATTTTCATTTGGTAACCTACTTGTTTCTTTCTACTTTAAAATCTTTGGCCGGAAGAATTCTGATTCTCTACTTTTTGAGGGGCAAATTCTCAATGAACATCTTATAAATTATTTTTAATAAGGTGTTTTTACTTTTGTTCATGTTATCCAGCTTGTAGATTCTATCAATCTAGTTTACTCTTTAGGATACAGTGTTGAGTGTGCATGTTAGCTATGTCATTAAACAAGCAATGTTCCAATAGTTGCTGTAGATTATACACGCACGCGCACACTTATGTTAAGATTAGGCTTAAGATATTGAAGATGTTTATTCTTTTCCTGTTCATTAAGATGATGTTAGAAAGAAGTACAAGGAGGCCATGTCAAATTTAGATGAGTTACAAAAGTTTGGAGCATGTGTGTTACATGGTGTGGATGCAACCAAAATGAAGCTTCACCCAGACTTGAAAATGAGGAGATTTGATAGGATTATTTTCAACTTTACTCATGCAGGCTTTCATGGCAGAGAAGACAACTTGTCTCTAATTAAGTGAGTTCTTCAACAAAATTCATTTTATTGGTGTCTCACCTTATGATTTTTATGGTCAACATATATATAATCGATATGTGTCAGATTTATAGTTTGAAAATGTAACATTGTTGGGGTTCTTTCCACAGTTATACTGTTTAGGTTTTTAGATTAATGTAGAGAATGTAAATGAAAGAGATTCTTACCCTTTCTGGAAGATTGTATTGTACCTGACCATTACTGTTCCTCAGAATCTGATTCTCAATAGAGAATAAGTGCCAATCCTGATGTCTTATTCTGTTTTCTAAGGTACTTTGTGGCGTATGAGAATTTTAGTTTTCCAAGGATGTGGGAACTTATTATTTGTACACAGTTGGAAAATGACATATGGGAAACTGCATCGCATATGGGTTTTATATATGCCCCAAATAATGATGGATCTCATATGAATATTGCTGAGCATAATAGTTACATGCACATGCTGGCATGCATGTAGTTGTGTGTGTATTAGAAATTGACAAAAAAGTGATTTTATGTATTTATTAAATATATTTTTACTTGATGCTTCTTGTGTTGCATACAAAATGAACATACGATATTTAGGGCCTGTGTTTTTTTTTGGTCTCAAATGATTTTATAAAATTATTTGTTAAAATAAGTTTTGAAAACAAAAAATATAAAAAAACTACTTGGATAATTGTTCTAAAAAAATTACATTTAAAAATAAACATACTGAGATCGGAGGGTGAAGCTCTATAGCTTCAATAAGAACTCAAGTGCTCAAGTGGAAAAAAGGCTATCAGACGAAAAATAAGATAATTGTCATGCTCTTGTTATAAAACTAAGAGAATTAGAGAGAAGAGAAGACTGGAATATTTCTCATTCCATTCAAGATAGTGAACAGATGATACATGCCTTTTATTTATAGGCATAGCTCTTTGACAAAATGTACAGATTATATAATAATATGAGATAATTGTGAGATATAAAGATAATATAAGATATTGAAGATAATAGGAGAGATATGGACATCCACATAAATATTATTGTGTTCATAATAGCTCTAAAATTTTAATATATTTTTTCTATTGAATAACTTCTAAAAAATAATAAAGTCATTAATATCAAGGAGCATATTCAGAATGAAAATAGATTTTAGCTACTATAATAAGTGACATGTAAATATGAATTTTACCTGTTTTGCTCCTCTCATAAATTGTAGAACAAACCCTTTCTATTGATATGGATATCTCTAAAATAAACTTGTAACAATTGTCATGTTTTTATGAACGGCGCAAATCTGAAGAAGATGGGGTAAACTAATGTTGTCATCTTGAGTGATCAAAAGAAAGAGAGGGAGAGGTGAATAGTTAGTGAATGAAAGGATTGAATTTGTATATGAATAATAATGAAACGTGAAACTTAAGGTTAAGCCTAACTTAATAATTTTATAATTAATTTATAAAATTAATATAGATGATATTACATATAGTTATATATGATAATGCAAACAAGAAATAAATAAAAGGCTATACTTTACAAAAATAGGTCTAGCTATTTGTTTAAAAAGGCTTGGAATGACAATGAACCTGGGCCTGAGTCTTATTTTGTTGAAAGTATATGGGACCTTATGTTTAATAAAGAAAAAATTAATTTTTTAATTTTTAACTCACTTATAATCAATTTTCTGACTATAATTCGGTGTGAGTCAATTCTTAAATTTTTGACTAGTTCATAACTTAGTATCTTATCTTCTTATTTTTCAATATTAATTAATATCCTTATCATTTATAATTTAGAGCGTGTTTAGATAAAAACCAAATTATGATTTTAAGAGTAATTTTATGATAGACGAAATAAATATGTAAAAAGAGTTTTGTCTAGATTAAAAACTCTTTTTGAAAGTGATTTTACATTCTTCCAAACAGCCTTCAGTCACCATCCTTAAAATTGCTTCCACCTAAGCTTCATCTGGAATTTTTTTATAATATTAAATAAATCAATTCATAAGGGCTGGACGCCGGAGAATCGGGGAAGGAAAGTTGCAGAGCACCCAAGCTTGCTAGCATCTCTGGCGTTGAGATTCAAGAGCTTCAATGTTAGCGGCCAATTAATTTCCAGCTTCAAATCTAATACCCACTTCCATCCATTTTCACGCTGAAGTTCAAGACCCTCCTCCCCTATTCTTCCCCCACTTCAGCAAAATGTGATGCGTCGATGATTTGATTTTGAAACAGTTCATGGGGTCTATAAGCTTGAAGACATGGGTCATAAGTTTCCACCTATTTTACCTTCTGAATTTCGCATCATAGCTCTCAAAAAGAGCACTGTTCAGTCTTTTTAAACGTTGGAAGGTTACGTTTTTTTTTTCCTATTGAAAAGTGTCATCATTACAAAACCAACAAAGTAAACCAGAACAAGTAAGCTCTCATCACTGTCCTTCTCTACTTAGAAAGGGTGGAGGGTGATCGAAAGTACAAAACAGAGTGTCCAAGTTATGAGCAGCTTTAGCTAGGAGGTTAGCACTAGAGAGGTCTTCCCTATAAACAAAGAAAGGCAAGACCTGCCAATCCCTATCCAGAAGCAATCTTGCATCATTTATAATGTCACAAAAAGGATGATCCGCATCGCAGCCTCGCGAAACCAAATTTATGGCTCCAATACAATCCGAGTAAAGAACGACTCGACTAAATCCTTTTGACCAGCTGATATGTAATCCCTGCATGATGGCTAGTGTTTCTGCAATGGCCGAAGGTACTGTTGTGAGCTTACAACTGAAGCCACAGATCCATGGGTCTTTTTCATCTCTTAGGATTCCTCCCCATCCACTATGTCCATCCTATAGAACCGACCCATCCACTTCTAGAGTGACATAATGCTCCTGCAACGGTTGATGTTCTTGTCTTCTACTACTATCCCATTTATAGAACGAGCAGTTAGCAATCATATCTTGGTCACAGCAAACTTTGAAGAAGCTTGAGAGAGCAGTAGGTTCTTTATTAGTAATATTTGGATCAAAAAGTTTGTTACATATGTGACCCAAATATCCCAACAAATGTAAGCAAATAGGGATGCCCAGGTGAGTTTCTTCGTAAAAGCTTTGCCTGCTTCCTTCTTAAGATTCCATTTGATCCATTCTACTCCTTGAAGGGAGTTAAACTGAGTCCAGTATAATGGGTCAAGCATTGATCTCCATCTGTGAATGGCATTATTGCAGTCACGAATCAGGTGCATATCGCTGTCCAAGTCCTCACAACTGAAAGGACGGTTTGTTGTCAACTCCAAACCCCTCCTTTGTCTGAGTTCTTGTCTGAGTTCTGTTGAATGAGCTCGTCCATGTGAAAACAGCCCCTAGAAAGATTTGACCTTCTCTGGTACCTATAATTGCCAAATTTTTTTCCAAATATTGAGCCTGTTTGGATAGGTGTTCAAGAAGCCAAAAGAGACTTGTAAGCCTGACACACACGATTGCAAATTTAAAACATGTTTGGTTGAGCTTTTCCTTAATTTTACTTATGGGCAAAAGGTAAGATTAGAAGCACGATTGGGTACAATTTTTTTAATAATATTTCTAATTTTAAAAAAATATATTTTAGTCTTAAATTTCACTTCTTTCTATTAAAATAATTTAAATTGTTTATATTATGTAAATTTATTTTTTTATTTTTTTATTATGTTATAAAAGTCATACCCATTTTGATAATTTTACAAACTAAACTTACTAATTCAATCATAATCCAAACAACTTTTATCTAATTGAATTTTTATAAACTAACTTTTATAATATTCAATCCAAACACAAATCACATTACTCAATTTAACTTTTATTCAATCTAACTTTTTTTAAAAGTTAAATTCAAAATAAGCTACTTTTTCTACTATTAATGCTAATCCAAACAGACTCATCGTCTGCCTGGTTATGGGTACCTGCAAGAAAAAATTTATAAGCAGAATTAACTGTAAAACAACCATCAATAGATGGTTTCCAAATATATTTTTCCTCTCCTCTTTCCTCGTGGGGTGGGTCAGGACACGGTCAACATAAGCCTGGGGAAGGAATCTTGTTTCTTTTCCGTTGTCCTCCATCATCCACATAGTCAGCGACTAACTATGTTAAGTTTACCAAGTGCTCAAGACCAGGGATCAAATTGATGAGTGGTGTATTAATCATCTGCCATTACCCACTTTTTCCCCAATCCTTTAATGAAATCTTTCCAGACCTCACTCACACCTTTCCAAGTAAGGGAAGCATTAGATTTCTTCCTTACACGAGGGCGTGGGCCATGTCCTGTGTCATATTTCGTTTGTAGGACCTTCACCGCATCTTTATCACAGACCAGTTCCCAGCATAACTTCATCATAACAGCTTCATTCTGCTTCCTCAAATTCTTAATTCCCAATCCTCCCGTTTTCCTGCCTTCCGTAATCTTCTGCCAAGAAATCAAGTGAAGTTTTCTGTTCCCATCATACTCCTTACATGAAGGTTACGTTTTCCATATAGGAAGCTTGAAACCTCGTAGTTTATATGCACAGGGGCAGGGGAAGCAATGGCTTTACAAATGAGCTGTCAGAACATAAGGCAGAAGCTTGTCGATTTGAGTGATGATGGAGGAGAAAAATGGTTCAAATATTATTCTTCCCATCATCAAATACTGTTGGTGGGTGAGGGTGATTTCTCCTTCTCCCTTTGCTTGGCTCAATCCTTTGGTTCAACTTTCAACATCGTTGCTTCGTCCCTTGACACCTATGGTCTCTCTCTCTCTCTCTCTCTCTCCCCCCCCCCCACACACACACACACACTCTGCTCTTACATTTGTGTGTGCAATGTTTCTTCTTCAAAATTTCCCCTTCGTCGTGACAGATGTCATTTTGAATACTGGAGTTATCTAAAATAGTATAAGGTTTTTCTGATTGCTTGATGATGACGCTTCGTGCAAATACTACGTTAAATGTTTATTTTTCACCCCCTTCCCTCTTGAAATAACTATTATTCTCCCTTAGTAGTTTGCAAAACACTGAATTTGATTTCCTTGTTGTTTTCTAAGCACCCAAAGGAAGTCAAGCTATGCCCTGCAATTTCGCTGAAGGGATCATTGATAATCGGAAGCTTTCTCGTTTGTGATTTTAACTCCATGTACATAAGGAATCTTAACATTTGACCTTTTATTTATTTATTTTTTTATTGTCATTTGTATTTTGGGTACCCTACGAAAGGTTTCTAGGAGGAGTCAAGGAACTAAATATTTGACTTTCTTTAGTTATTCTAATGAAGCTTAGCTCAGACATAAATCTCGCCTTAATCTTTGCTTGCTTAGATGGTTTTCTGATTCTTCATGATTTTGGAAGTGCTTGTGTTTATATACTATTCTTCCATTTTTCTATGAGCATCTGATAGATTTTGTTGTCTGAATGAATTGTTTCTATTTTTGTGCATGTTATCTAATTTGTGGGCTGTGGATTCCGTCGATCTGGTTTACTCTTCAGCTTTTTGTAATTTTTGTTACTACAGTGTTGAATGCTTGTCATGTCATTGATTGCTTTTGCTGTTCATTAAGATGAAGTTGTGAGGAAGTACAAGAAGGCGATGTCAAATTTGATTGCCTTAACAAAGATGGGAGCATGTGTGTTGCACGGAGTTGATGCAACACAAATGAAATTTCATCCATACTTGGAAATGAGGAGATTTGATAGAATTATATTCAACTTCCCTCATGCAGGCTTTCATGGCAAAGAAAGCAACTTCTCCATGATTCAGTGAGTTCCCTGTTAGAATTCATATCACTATTGTCTAACATCTCTCTGTGTCTGTAATACTCCTCCGGTCCTAAATGTAAGACCCTTATACACACTAGTATAAGGGTCTTACATTTAGGACCGGAGGAGTACAATATAAAGACTGTGTTAGATGCATAATGTAAAATGATCTCGGATCTTTCCATAATTATTCTGTTTAAGCTTTTCTGAGGGATGGTACACACATGGCAATTTCTGTTGCTCAAAATCTGACTTCCAACAGACAAATATAAGCGGCAATCTTGATATCTTGTCCTCATACATTAATCTAATGATTCTTCTGCACATTTGTGCTTTTTAGTTTAAGCTGCTTCGGTTTGGTACATGAACAATTTAGTTTTCCTAGCATTTGGCTACCTATGTATGAGATGGTTGGCTATAGAAAATATGCAAAGATATAGTGTGTGTAAACATATATACATTGGAAACTTGCATGTATATTGTATTATTTGTACGTCCAAACATTGATTATTCTTACTAAAAAGCTCTGGTACTTTCACTAAAAGACAATGCATGGGCAAGGGTGATTCTGTCATTTCATTTGACACTTGCAGTTGTTATGTTGTGAGGAAATTATTTCAATGCTCTTGCATGTGATAATTTTTCAGGAGGAAAAACTCCAAGTACCCCTATCTGTCTATCAAGCAAGAAGTAAGGGCTTTTTGGTCAATACAGCTTGTGAAGATTATTGGCCCCACAAGTGTAAAACTTGACATTCCTTATATCCATAGATGCTTGTAATTATGCATCTCTCTACCCCCCAATACACACATAAACACTTTTGTCTGGTTTCAGTTGTTTCGTTATTGACGCAATTTGACACATTTTTCTATATATTGGACCGAGTTTAAGGAATAAGTTGCACTATTTATAACTTGTGAATATTGATTGATATATTCTTATATTGATGATTTTATGATATGTAACGGCATTCTAAGTGAATTATTGCAAATTCTCCTCCAGTTAGTTTGTGTATGTAAAGGCTTTAGCGTCCTTTTTTGTTCTTGGTATTTACAGGAAACACAAGGACCTTGTGCGTGGGTTCTTTATGAATGCAGGGAGCATGCTGAGGTCCAATGGTGAAATTCATGTTAATCACAAGACCAAACCGCCATACGATGCCTGGCGCATAAAGGAACTTGGGATTCAAAACTTTCTATGGCCAATTGAGTGTGTGCAGTTCAAGAAAGAAGATTACCCGGGTTATAATAACAAGCGAGGTGATGGGTCCAGAAGTGATGAGCCTTTCCACCTCGGTAAGTGCAGCACATTCAAGTTTGCCTTGTTGACAAAGAATGAATTCTACCCCACAAACCAAAGAACTCTCAGTTATCATCACTACCCTCTGATAAGCCTCACTCCTCACTCACCACCATCAGCAAAATTAGTTGCAGAAATGGACACCTTCCAATATTAGAAGGAGGAGGAGGCTACTTAAACGGTGGAATAGAGATTCTAGGAAGAGTTGGTTATGTTGGTGGAACCAGTTGTGATTTGCAGAGATCATTGCGGTCTGAATCAACTGTGTTTGGGCGTCCACAAACAGATTATGTTATGAATATGGATATGATTCTGGAGAAACAAGCTTCTGGTTATGTTCATGGAATCAGTTCTGACTTACAGAGATCATCATGGCCTAAATCAACTTAGTTTAGTTATCCACCAAGAGGACATGTTGGAAATATGGATATGATGGGGGGAAGATTTGTTTCTGGATATGTTCATGGTATTAGTTCTGACTTGCAGAGACGATCATGGCCTAAATCCAGTAATGTTTTGCATCTTTGAACTGATAAGGTTAGAGAGAAACATGATACCCCTTAGGCCCTACCATGCCAGTTGGTTCTAGAGTTGGAAATGAAGTCTGTCAATTTCTCACTCTAGATGCTAAACTTTTGTTTTGTGGCTTTTGTTGCTTATCTTTTAGCTTCTTTTGCTGGCCTGCAGCTGCTAGCTGTATTTGTGAAGCTGTGCAATTTGATGTTAACTTGGATCTCTAAAGTACTTTTTGTTGAATGAAGGGAAAGAAATTGAAGTGTGATGTGGGTCTTATCTTTTGAGGGATCCACGTGAACATAAAAATGTGAATTCCATATGTCAAAATGTTACTCCATGTTTGCTTTGATCCAAATATAATACCTCCATGTACTTTGTCTTTCAATTTTATAATACTTCCATATACTTTGTCTTTCAATTTTACTATACCTTCATGTACTTTATCTTTGTTAGTTGCATTGTTAGTTGCATATATCAATTGGAAGTTTTCATCAATAAGAATATTACTAAATATAATTAGAGTATTTTGGAGAAATAAATACAAATTTATAATAAATAATTAAATTTTTAATCTTTGTAATTAGTTATTTGCCTCTTACATTTAGAATCTGATAGTGATGGTTGTATGTAAGTATGACGTCTTAATTATGTTTTAAAAAATTTCTTGTGCTTAAATTCATGCTGAATTCAACCTTATTCTCAGTTTCCTCTTTGACTATTTTAGTAACCTAGCTAAACTACTCTCTTTATTGGGACTTGACTGGATCAGCTGATGAAATATTGGTCTTTCTGAACATTTGAATGATAGATTTAATTCCAAACTCATTTCACATGCGTGCGGTTTCATGAATTGTTTGGTGATTAGGTTTATAACTGCAAGTTAAAATACTAACAGTATTAATATTAGTGACAAAAAAAAACTTTTACTTCTGAGCTGATATCTTGAATGGTCCATTGAATTTGATCATGATGCATTGCAAGTAAACTTTTGCAGATTCATTGACTTCAGCTTAAAATTCAAATTTCAGGCACACAAAAAAAAAAAGCTTAAAATTCAAATTTAAATTTGATATGTTTATCATAAGTACTACCTTCGGTTTTTAATATAAGAGCTCGTTTGACTTTTATTTTGGTTCTAAATATAGGACCCCAATTACTTTGTTTATCATATTTATCTATTTTTTTCAAGATAATCTTTGTAATAATGGTAGTTCTAGTTAATATACTTAATTAGTA